TACTATGGACACCGTAAAGGAGGTGGGCAGCCAGAACCAGACTCACTCAGCCTTTAAATGCCTCAGCAGCTCGAAAGTTCTGGAAAATGTAAAGTTTATGAATCACATGAAGCACCTATGACCCCAGTGCTCAGGACACTGAGGCAGGAGGATCGCCATGAGTCTGAGGCCAGCTGAGCTACGTAAGCAAATTCAAGCCAGCCTGTACTACGCAGTGAGACCCTGTCTCAAAAAAAAAAAAAAAAAAAAAAAAAAAAAAATCACACGAAGCACCTTTTGGGTGACAGCTGGGAAAACCACGCCACCTGCCAGCACCGCCAGTGGCAGTTTCCAACTCCCTTCCAGCTGGGGCTCACAGCGACAGGATGCGCACTACCCAGTGGCCCCTGCTGCCTGTAAAATCTGTGCGCTGTCATTTGAAGCAGATCGAGCTCTCTGACAGCACGTGAAGGACAAGCGTAAGCCTGGCGAAATGCGCTGTGTGCCAGGTTCGCAGTTATAGATCACCAGCCTTTGCTGCGTGGAGACATTTTAGAATGTGCCATGAAAACACTAAGGATTTGCTTTGTCTGTTTTGTCTTAAAACCTGAAAAACTGCAAATCCACACATGAATCATTGTTGGAGACACTGGAGCAACAAGACAAACTTCTGTGTCCCAAGAGCTTGCTGTGGTTTTTGAGTTTGAAGGAGAAAACAGCACAAAAGCAAGAATCATCCGACATCTAAAAAGCCGGAGCCTGCAGAGTGTAGTGGAGTCTCAGCACTGTAGTCTCAGCACTCGGGAGGCTGAGGCAGGAGGATGGTTGGGAGTTCGAGACCAGCCTGGGCTACGAAGTAAGCTCAAGTCCAGCCTGAACTGCATAGTGAGACTTTGCCTCAAAAAGACAAAAAAAGCCAGAGGCACAGGGAGGAGGGGCTGCCTCCTGAACAGAGGTTATTATTCAACCGCGACTCACCCACTGAGATGCACAGAATCTGTCACTGCATCTTGCCTGTCGCCTGTAGAGATTCTGGACTCCTCTGTGTTCTGCCCTCGTCCATGGCTTCTGAGAGGCAGCTGTGAGGCCAGGGCATCCGCAGCTTGGGACCGGCACTAGCGTGCAGCAGCAGGGTGCACAGTGACAGCTCCAGCCCCCTGCTCTAAAGAAGCAGCTCACAAATCTTCATGCCCTTTCTTCACTCAAACCCCTCTACAGAAGTGACCCCTACTCTGCCCGTACCACCAACATTAGTTTTTATTGCTTTTGAACTTTAAGTAAATGTGTTAAATCACTTTAATTCAATGGAATCAAACAATTAAAAAAAGAACTTTTGGATTTCAGAATGTTTGGGAGTTCGGATTTTTGGGTTAGGATGCTGTTTGCATACCAGTCAATCTCTCTGTTTTGGGGCTGGGGATTTAGCTCAGCGGCACAGCGCCTGCCTGGCAAGTGCAAGGTCGTGAGTTCAATCCCCAGTACCGGAAAAAAAAACAAAAACAAAACAAAACACAACAAAAAATCTCTCTGTTTTGTTATTGGGGACACCGAAGCCCACGAAGCTGAAGGGACTAATGAGCTTAAGACATCCAGGCCCGGTGAGATTTTCACTCCGGGGAAACAAGCTCTTCTAACCTCCTTCTGCCCCGGCCAAGAGCTCCCAGAACTTACTGGCTGCCAAACACGTTATTTGTCTTCATGAACTTCGAGTTCTCCTCCAGGGAATGCCCTGCGGGTGGGTTACGTGGTGAATGCTCACCTTTAACCCAGTGAAAAACACCCATCACAGACCCTTAGTATGTGGGCATGGGAGCTGCTCTGTTGCAGGACTTGTAGTGAGTTTTCAGTTGATGACGTTCAGCCACTTCTTGTTCCTGGTCTCCTGTAAAGCAGGAACTGACAATGTACCCTCCACAGCCCTGGTATACACAAGATGGTTAACGCTATTCTTTCTCTCTACTTTCTCCCGCAGAGCACTGTCTAAGCGGTTAAGTTGGCTAAAGCAAGGAGGTCAAAGGCATGAAAATTCCTAGAAAATAAAAACCGCACAAAACATCAATATGGCGGTGCCAGGTGCCGCGTAATTTTCACGAGAACTCCGCAGACACATGCAGAACCCCAAACCCACAAATCTTCTGAGCCCTTTGGAGCTGCTGATGTTGCTGGCGCTGCAGGAGGGGGTGACCAGTGACCAGGGCCCCTCTTCTCTGCTGCCCAGCTTTGGGAAATATCTGCTAGCCCAGTCACAAGAGGAATCGCCCTCTAACCAGCTCAGCTACCAGGAGGAAGTGCCAACTTATCTTTTGGGAAATTCCAGATCTTTCTTGGGGGGGTACCGGGAATCGAACTCATGAGCATGCACTTGTTGGGAAGGAGCTGTGCCGCTGGGCTATATACCCTTGGCTCTAGACTGCAGATTCCCAAGAAAGTGAGGCCCTGGGTTCCGGGGGCTGTGCCCTCTCCAATGGCAGCCGCCCTGGTCTCCTGACCGTGGTAGCCCTCCCTGGCAGTGCTAGGCCGGGGGCAGAGCAGTGTGTGAGATCCGCTGTCCCTCCCCGCAGCAGTGCTGGGTCCCACATGCCACGCTCACTCCCCGCCCAGTTACCAGCGCTGTGTGTGTCTCCGGCACCGTGCCAGGGGCTGAGTGTACAGCAGCGGGCGAGATGGATGTGGTCCCCGCCTTCGGGAAATTAACAGGCCGGTGGAAAGACAGGCAGTAATAAAACAGCAAACCGGCTATTACAAACCACCACAACTATGCACTAGCAAGGGAACGAGGAGGGCGGTGGAAGCCAGCGGAGGTCGGGGTGGCAAGGGAAAGGCTGGGGTCTGAGTTTTGTGCCAGGCGTGGGCATTGCAAGGAGGAACACTTGAGGCAGAGGTGGTGACTTGGGCCACCACCAGGAAGCAGGCGGGAGCTTGACTGTCCCAAGCCCAAGGCGTGCTTGGTCCGACCCTGCCGACCAAGCTGAGCTCCGACAAGAAGGTCTCAGCCGGGGCTGGCAGGACCCAGCCTGTACTCTGAGATCCCTGAGCATAAGCAGGAGCCCACTGGGAGGGCCGAGTGGGTGGGGAGGGAGTTTGGGGGGTGCGGCTGCCGCCAGGCTGTCTGTGAGTTGGACCCCAGGGAGCGGGGGCGAGAGGGGAGGCCGGTGGGGTTCAGCCAGTACAGATTCCAGCGGTGAGCGCAGGGCCACGCACACAGGGCAGCGCTATCCACTGCCCGCACGGGCCTCCCGCACCCTCCTGCAGCACCCTGGGCGAGGGTAGTGGGACCTGAAAGCCACCCGGGTACAAGAGCAGCGGCCACGGGAGGGGCTGGGGCTCCTACAGCTCGGATACTGTGGGTCTCACCAGCCTGGGGGGCACAGGAGCCCCACACGCTCCTGGGAGCAGACGGTTCTGGCTGGAGGTGCCCGGCTACACAAGAGCAGGATGGCAGCACCTCTGGGCCCACTCCAAGGCCTTCCCGCCCTCAGGAAACCCCCGGAAACCTCGATGGTGCACACAACCGGCCCCCGCTGCAGGGCTGAGTTCCAAGCCACCGTGAGGCCTGCAGCCCCAGGCGGCGTCAGACCCTGTGGATGTGGCGTGTCTTCGCGCACGTGCGCACACACCTACGGGAAAGCTTAGCCTATAAACTGGGCACAGAAAGAGGTTAGCTGTAATTACCACCAGTCAAATAGAACGCCGTAACGCCACAGAGCAAGGAAAGCTACTTAAAACTGAGGCATTGTTTTTTTCTGGAATTTCCCATGTATTTTTGGACTGAGGTTGACCATAGGAAACTGACACCTCAGAGAGCGAATCCATGCTCCCACATCTGAGTTTAGATCTAGAAACCATACGATTGTCTGCCCGCCTAGGGTGTGACAGCCCCTCTGAGGACGCATGGAATACAATCAAAGTCTCCCCAGAGGTGACAGGGCTCATAGAGCGTCTCAGCTGTACCGAGGACACAGGGACATGCCCCCGCCATGCTTGTCCTGAGCACTGCAGCACCCGGTGTTTCTGGGGACCCCCACACTGCTGAGGTCCAGGAGCTGCAGGAGCAGCAGGCGTGGCCCTGCAGACCTGGCTCCCCAAGCCCATGTGTCGCCTGCCCGCCTCAGTGTCCATCTGTGTTCAAGCCCAGAGGCAGCCACTCTGCTTCCTTGGTGGCCAGCGGTCCTCAAGATCCTTCTGCTCGGTCTCCACTTCCAGGACTCCTGACACACACTCCTGGACAAGTCCTCTGGTCCGCCCCACTCCCGTAGCCGAAGCCAACCCCCAACCTGGGCTGGCGGCACCTTGGGAGCTGCTTGCTCAAAGCGGGGGCCACACACCACCGACCCAGGAGTCGCTGTCGCCAGCCTGGGATGAGGCCCCGTGCTGGCGTGGAGACCAGGCGTTCAGGAGCATTGCTGGCAAAGGGTGGCCTGAGTCTATGCCTGTGAATGCCAGGAAAAGTCTGGGCTAGGATTTTTTAAAATTTATTTTTGCATTTCAGTTTTTCTAACTTTTATTTTTATTAGTCCGTGGAGGCTGTGCATGATGACCACACTCACAGTGAAGACCTGGTACACGGATAGAATGCGTCTTAATTCCTGTTGCATTTCATTTTCTTTAAGCTAAGCCTGGCGGCCCACACCTGTGATCTCAGCTACTCAGGAGGAGAAGCCTGAGGTAGGAGGATTGCAAGTTCCAGGCCGTCCTGAGCAATTTAACAAAGTAAAAAACAGTAAGGGCTGCGGTAGAGCGCCTGTTTAGCTGGAGTGAGCCCCTGGTCACAAAAAAAGAAGAACATTTAAAACATGACACATCGTATTTTTAGATCTTTATAGGATACAGTACGATCATCTAACACCTGTCTGCCATGTGTCAGGATGAAATCTGAGTAATTACATTTCCACAGCCTTGAACATGCATTGTTCTGTGTGCTGGGACCCTCTGGACTCTCCTGGTTGTTTTGAAATGTCTCCTAAGCTGCCGTGGGGCACAGCTACCCCAGGGCACCGGGAGCACGGGCGAATCCCTCATCACTGCACTTTGTCACCCCTTATCTCACCCTCTGTCACCTCCTAGACGCTGGTGATGTTATTTTCTCTCTGTGTGGAGGATTGCATTCATCTTCCCAAAGATTTCTCTCCTGGGCCAGGGATATAGCTCAGGGATGCATGCACCTGCCTGGCAAGCGCAAGGTCCCAAATTCGATTCCCGGTACCAAAAAAAAATCAAACCAAAGATTTCTCTCTGTTATATTTTATGAATGTGTTCACCTGTGACAAATGGGAAACGAGACCCCAAAGAGCTCTTTCCTGGAGGACAGCTACAAAAGCACCACATAGAGGCCACGTCCCTCTCCCCTGCTGACTGAGCCCCAGGGCCTTTGACCTCGGCACCAACAGGAAGAAAAATAACACGCGCTTGTTTGGTTGACCCTGCTGGTGGTCAGAGCCCAAAGGTCCCTCTCCGCCCCAGCAAGGTCATGGAGTGGCTCCGTGGCTCACCGTGCTGTCCAGCCGCAGGGCCCCAGCACCCGGCTTGTCAGCCATGTGTCGCCGCGCAGGGACTCCGCACAGCCACCTAACCACCCCGACCCAGGCCCCAGAGAATGGCAGCGCCAGTGTTCCTGTCCCCAGGGCCTTGGAGGTGCCTGTCCCACAGCATCCGCTGGGCCTTCTGTGCCTGGAGAGGAGGGGTTCATCCTGCAGCGTGGGAGCACGTCCGTTTATCCGAGAGAAGTTCATCTCTGTGTGCCTGCTGGGCCTGAGGTCACAGGGAGGCCTGGGGAAGGGGACGTTGGCACTGCATCTGGCTCCCCAGCCTCCAGCTCCAGGATACAGGTGACCTGAGGCCCCACCCACAGCTGCACGTGCTGGGTGCAGGAGCTGGTGACTGAGGCCCTTGCTGCCCCCAGCCTGCAAGCTAAGCTACCGGCCCAGTGACCGCGTGCAGGCTGCCTGGCGGCCCTCCACGAGCCCAGAACCGGCCAGCCGAGCTTCTCTTCTGCCTAAGGACTCTCCCAAGGGCCCTCTGGCTGCTCCAACGAAGGCCCCACGGGCGGGGAGTTCTGGGAAACGCAGTCTGGCGCAGCTCAGTGGACTCAGCACAGGCCCCCAGGAGGCCCTAACGCTGAGTGGGTGGGGGAGGGGAGGGCTGGTCGAGGGCCGCAGGCCGGGGTGTGGTGAACTCACGCTTCCAGCTGGAGGCTGTGGTCTCCACAGGGGCCCTCTCGATGGGGCCTGGGGGCTCTGGCAGCAACATCGTCCCAAGGCCCGCCGCTCTGCTCTGGAAAGACCCCAGGGCCGCAGCCCTCCTTCCTGAGCTCTCCCTGGGTCCCAGGGCAAGGATCCAGTGTGTAGGGAGACTCGGCCCTTCCTGCAAGGTGCCGGTGCTCAGAGGGCTGCAGAGGCAGCCAGAGTCTTTCTCGGATGCTTGGACCAGATGGGGGAGCTTGGGATCCACAGCAGTGGTGCAGAGGAGCTGCGGGCGGGCAGGGAGGTAGGAAAAGGTTCTCAGGCCTGGGACCAGGCTTGGACCAGGGAAGCACCCAGCGTGGGAGAGAAAATGCACTTCAGAGGGACTTGCAGGAGCTACTCGGTGACCATATGGGGCAGCAGGGCCCAGGCGCCGCAGCCTCGCCCTCGCCTTGGGGGCCGCTCTTGGTGGGGTGTGCAGGTGGAGGGTGTCAGCCTGCGGGGTTCAGCCAGACAGGTCCCTAGCAGCTGCCGCGCCTCAGCAAAAGCAGGGTACTTTCCCAGGACTCACAAGCATCTCCAAGAGGGGGCGACCGGATGCCTGGGCCACCCCTCTCCGAACAGCTGCCCCGCAAACAGCAAACCACCCCCACGTCCTAACACTCGTGCCCCTCCCTGGGCCTCAGCTTCCCTGCCTTCACCAGGCTGCGCTGCACGAGCTGTTGCACTCGCCCCTTGGGCTCCTGGTGCCCCCACTGCCCCCACTCCCATCCACCTGCTGTGCCCCCGGCTTCCAGGTGCTGCCGCGCTGTCCCGAGCCTCTCAGAGGGGCCATGCACTGACTGGGCACTGAGGAGGGCTGTGTCCCTCATGGCGAACGGGCATACCCTGAGGAGCAGTAGAGTCGTCTTCACCTTGCTTGGAGGCGTCCTGCAGGCCCCCGGGGCAAACAGCCTGGAAGGGAAGCCAGAAGACACAGATGGCGCCAGTCCTGGCCGGCAACCCCGGCTTGAGGACTTCAGTGTCTGGTGCGTTAAATCACAGGAGTAGATGCGCTGCTAAGTTGCCGCTGGCCCCAGCACTCGGCCCGTGTGCAGGTCCCACCTGCAGCGAGATGTGGTGTGTGGCTTAACCGGCACCAGTAACAACACTGAAAGTGCTTTTCTGGCCAGGCGAGGTGGCCAACACCTGTAGTCCCAGTTCTCGAGAGGCTGAGGCAGGAGGATTGGCACCAGTCTCTGGCCAGCCTGGGCTACATAGTGAGACCCTGCCTCAGCAACAACAAAGAAAAAATACTTTTCCATCCACTGCCCTGATGGTGGCCAGGGCAGCTCTGGAGGTCTTTGGGCAGGGTCAGCATCCCCAGGTTTCAAATGGGAAAGGGGCTGTCGAGCTCATAAGTGACCCAGTCCCGCCGGTGGCAGAGGGCCAGCTGATCTGCGGGCACACATGCCTTTTCACTCTGTGCCCGGGACGCCAGTGTGAATGAGCGGTTTTGGCTTTCACTGTGCGTGTGCTGCAGTGTGGACCCTACTGCCACCTGGGCAGTGCAGGACCTCCAGGACTCGAGTAGATGACCAGCTCGACTCGTGCGACTCAGAGCTTGGTGCACAATGTTCCAAAAAGTTAGTTGTCGGTTCCGAAAGCCACTGTGGAGGCCGCAACAATGACAGCAGCACGGCCGTCCTCTCAGCACTCAAGAGGCTACACAGCGAGCTCAAGGCCAGCCTGAGCTGCACAGCCAGACGCCAACTTGAACACAAAGACCAAAGGACAGTGACAGTGGCAGCAACCATTGGTCCCTCACCAGGTAGACCAGTTACCTCGCAGACTGTCCATGCACTTGGCTTTCTTTGTAGCCGTCTGGCTTTCTCTTTGGAGGGAAGCCTGTGAGGTTGGCATGAACCCCATTTTACAGGCATGGAGACGGGGCGACCGGGGCAAGAGAGGGAGCATGGCTGGGCGTGGGGGCGCACACCTGTGATCCCAGCACTCGGGAGGCTGAGGCTGCAGGATCGTTGCAAGTTCGAGACCAGCCTGGGCTACAAAGTGAGCTCAAGGCCAGCCTGAACTGCACAGCGAGACTGTGTCTCAAAAAGACCAAAAAAAAAAAAAAAAAAGCAAGAGAGAGAGAGACAGAGAGAGAGAGACAGAGAGAGAGAGAGACGGAGAGAGAGAGATAGCACGGCCAACAGGAGCCGGGATGTGGAGAGACAGCTAGAACTGCCGCCAGCCTGTCCCCAGCCTGGAGCAGCCACACCCACACATTCCTGCCTTTGTCTCCCCCAGATGAAATGTGTGAGGCTGCATTTCTTCCCTCTGGGTCTCTAGGAGGCTCCTGTGCCTCTGCTGTTCCGGGGTTTAGGAGCACACAGACTTCCTACAGCCCAGCCGCTGTTATTCTGCCTCTGTGGTCTCCGGGGAGAGCTCGCCCTTCTGCAGGATGACAGCTCCCCTTAGTCATCAGCTGGGGCTGACGTCAGAGGTCCCAAGGCGCCCACAGGCCGGGCTTTGGAGAGGCAGCTGGATTATGAGGGTGCTGGACCGACTAGTGGCCGGGTTGGGGCCTGCTCCCTGCGGAAGCGGGCAGTGAGGCAGGTGACCTGGAAGGGTTTATCTCCCTTCCCGCTCGCTTCCTGGCCGCCGAGAAGTGAGCGCCTCTCCTCCACCAGCCCCTTCGCCATGCGGTTTCCTCATTGGAAACCGGCGACCAGGGACTGAAACCCGGGCCAAAATAACCCTCTCCTCCTTCGAGCTTCGGGTGTCCCAGCAAGAGGACAGTGACTAAGACATCTGGCTTCATGACCAGAACTGCATGGAGGATTCCTACCACGGTTTTGCACAAAAATAAGAACATAAGGTCATGTCTCCCGTAGCATACTGTCCTGTTTTTGCTCCCCAGTCTGGGTGTGGAAACCGAGGCCCAGGCACACTTAAGGTCTGTACGTCTTCCTCCCTCACCCCGTCCCTGCCTGATCCACCGGACAGTGGGGCCTGGACAGCGTGGGGCCGCGGGGGCACTGCTAGTGTGAGCAGTGGCTGGCTGCCGGGGGCTCAGGCCAGCAGGAGAATCTGCCCCACACCGTAGCCTGCGCAGGGCAGGGGTCTCGAGCGTCCCGAAGCGGACCCCCCCCAAATTCGGAGACTCAAGGCGGGAAGAGCAGTGCTGCTGCGGGTGGAGATGAAGGCGCTGGCGGCCAGGACAGCCTGTGGAAGAGAAGATAGATTCTGGTTTGTCTGGAAACAGTGCAGGTTGCACTAGGATGGGCCAAAAGTCGCTTCCAGAACCCAACCCTAACTGCTACCTCGACCCTCACCCTAACCCTAACCCTAACTCAGGAGGCTATGACTGGGGGCCTGTGGGTCTAGTGAAGCAGCGGGGCTGTGGGGTGCAGACCCGAATGGGGTGTGTGAACAGTGAGGCCCGGAGGGCCCAGGGCCAAGCACATATGGAGCAGAGGACAGAGAGAGATGGGGAGAGGAGTCGCCGTCCCTGCTATGTGCTGGAAGAACCCAGGAAGAATGGCCTCATCATTTCCCTTCTCAGAAGGAAATACCTCGGGGCGTGGTAGCCCACGCCTGTAATCCCAGCACTTGGGAGGCTGAGGCAGGAGGATCGATGGGAGTTC